AGGATAGCCAATTAATCAGGGAGGCATAGCCTGTCAACTCAGACCACAGAAGCAAAGAGCAGGGAAGCTCTTAAAGTGGCAGTCTTCTTTCTTCAGTCTTCTTTCTACAATGCCTAAGTCAAGGCAAGCTGCCGCAGTCTAGTAAAGCTCCCAATACATATGGTTTTCTCATGTGTATGTTTTAGTGTCTTAGGGAAAGTGACTTTCTTGACTTAACCTGTATAATGCTATAGCAACTGATCATGTGCGACTATAAAAATAAAAAATGTACTGCATAGCTAAGTGTGGTGGCACTTTCATTTATTTCCAGCATCGCAGAACTCAAGAGAATGAGGCAGAAGGATCACAAGTTTGAGACCATCCTAGGTTGCATGAGGAGACTGTCTTAAGAAAATTGAAAACTTAGTCATTGCTGCACTAGTTATATTTAAATTCTTGATTTGCTATCATGTTAGCATAGAATATTTCCATTGTCAAAAAAGGATCTATTGTATAGCGATGTTCTAGGGTTTTTTTTTTTTTTTTAAGGACTATTCATAGAGCAATAAATTGCCTCCAAAAGCATTGTTATAATAAATATGAGATCGTGTTATCAGCCTAGGATTTGGTAGGACCTTATAAATATTATGTATCTATTATAGGTATTAAAGAGATAGCTTTTATATTAGCCTGGCAAACTATTTTGAGATTTCTGATGTAATGTTGTATCCAATTGGCCATAAGTGCTATTTTCTTCATGGTGTTTGTTAATCGTATTTACACGTTACTTTCTGTCTTCACTGATTTGCTTCTCCTTATCTAGCCTTACTGTATCTTCCCCAATAGCAACATTTGTGTCTATGTCCTCCAACACTCTGTCTTTTCTTAGGGAATTTGTACTTCAGTGTCAGCAGTGGAAACAAATTGACTGCTCAGGATGATTTGTTCGGAATTATTAGTAAATGTATGATGTTCCCAGATAATTCCCATTCAAGAATACATTAACTCGTAAGAGAACGATATGAAGAGAAGTCAAATTGTTAATTTTTATTGATAGATATAATTAATTGTTATATAAACACATAGTGGCTAATTTGCATGCAAAGCCAAATTAATAATTTTAAATCTTTTTGCTGTTTTGAATCAGCAAGTGGATCCATGGATAGTGTCAGTCTCCTTAAGGTGCATGGCTTTCCCATTTGTCTCTTCACTAAGGACACACTTCTTAAGATGGAATACTGGGGCCACTAGTTTTGTCAGCTGCTCCCTGTATCTTCTGTCTTCTGTTCCTGTGCGCAGCATTCTGTTATCACTGAGGAGCTACATCTCTCATGATGAAGCTCACTACATTGCCAGGCCCTTCTCTATTGGGAGTAGAATTAGCTTCCTTTAAAAAATAATAATTCATTTATCTTTGAGTTTTACTTTGCTCATTTCAAAGTGGTATAGAACGTTCTTTCTTGGTATAGTTGGATAGGCCACCTATCTGAAGCATTTTAAATGTTAATTTAGTATCCTTATTAATATGCAGATATAACTTGTAAACCACTTTCTCTTTTCTTTCTATTGTACACAGTATTCAGTCAATATCTTTTCTCTTATTACTATTTTGAATCACCTTATACAGTTGATTTCTCAATCAAAACCCAATTTTCCTAAGCCTAAGTAAAATGTTTAAATGGTATGAGGAATTGATTTTGATAAGTCAGAGTAAAGTTGAAAGCCACACCCAAAATTTTATAATCTACATTTTTAAAAAATTCTCTCTGCCAAATTATAGTATGAGTTACTTTTGTGGATATTATTTCTTTGCCAGATAAATTAGGGAAGAAATAACTTAAAGATATAGCTAGAATGAATTAACCATATGGAACCCCTTAAAGCCTTTAATGTCCTTGGGAATATTCTAACCTCACAAGGGTGCAGGGATTCTGTATTGACAGCAGCAATGTTTGGATTTCCCCTCAGGGCTTCCACAAGTGTCTCATTTTGCTTAGGGATTTCCACTTAGGAAGATACACATCTCTAAAAGTATTATTTTGTTATTGTTTCAGTTTATACATTAATCACTGGTTTTAGTGGACTTTATTGTACTTTCTTATTGAAGAAGTATAATGTTCAATTAAATTTTAGATTGATTTATATTTTTATAGGCTGATATTAATTTTTCAAGTTATAAACAAAATTATTTCTAAGAAAACCAGTTGGTTTATATGAACCAACAATGAAGATTGCTATGTAAGTAGCTTTTGGAAGCATCACGCTGCTTAGTAAATATTTTTACTAATTCTTTAGGACTTTCATACAATGTTTTTTTATTATAATCACTCCAGCTCCTACTGTGAACTCCTCACAGATCCACCCCCATCTCCCTATCCCTTCAGCTTCGTTTCCTGTATTTACTTTTAACCCCTGCACTCTGAATTCCTTTGGGGCATTATTTGTAAATGAAATCATATAGGTTTGGTAATTTACAAATACAGTATTCTAAAATGTAAATACTTAATGATATAATTACTGTCTTTTTTTTTTTCTATAGGCTCCAACAACAAACTATATATACACACCCCTGAATCAACTTAAGGGAGGTACAGTTGTCAATGTCTATGGTGTTGTGAAATTCTTTAAGCCTCCATATCTAAGCAAAGGAACTGGTAGGTATTAAAGTGGGTTGTCTATTATACACTAGAACTGCATTATTGGTTTCAGGGGCACAAATCTTCAGTACCCTAAGTCCAAGAACAGACACTCAATTCTGATTTATAATTGCTAAGCAATACCAGTACATATTCTTTGGCCATTTTAATTCATGAAGTAAATATCGTTTTGAGATTCCAAAGTCTGGTTTAACACAATAAGAAGCATCCAAGGATGCTCAACAATATTAGAAGTATATGGCAGTGTTAATTTGTTTATGAAGGTAAATATAACAAATATTATATAGTGTAAAAGTGGCACAAAGATCACTTTCAATTTGACACAGATGTTAAAGACAAATATATAAAAAATAACTATAGCAATATGTTAATAGATACATAGTATAAAAATATGTAAAGTATGACCTGAATTGTATAAAGTGTGATAAGGGCATATATGAAAGTATAGAATTTTCATGTAATTGTAGTTCATAATCAATAAGCTTAAAATAGATTGCTGTAATTATAAAATTCATGTAAACACTGTGATAATACCCTTGAGAAAGAAATGAGAAGAAAATGAGAAAATAATGAAAGCTTTTCATTATAACAGTAAAACAGTGTCAGATAGTACAATGTAAGATAGCTCAGTGAAACAATGTCAGACAGTACAATGTCACAGTAGAGAGAAACAATGTCAGCTAGTACAGTGGCAGTACAGAGAAACAATGTCAGATAGTGCAATGAAACAATGTCAAATAGTACAATATAAGATAGTTCTATGAACCAGTGTCAGTACAATGTAAGATAGTACACTGAAACAGTGTCAGATAATACAATGTAAATAGCACAGTGTCAATACAGAGAAATAATGTCAGATAGTACAGTGTCAGATAGTATAGAGAAACAATATCACATAGTACAGTGTCAGATAGGTCAGTAAAACAATGTCAAATAGTACAATATCATATAGTACAGTGTCAGATAGTACAGAGAAACAGTGTAAGATAATACAAGAAAGAAATAAACAGGGTTAACATGTTGTAGGACAGAGAGAGAGGAAAATAAATAAATTCCTCAAATGAGACACAAATACCTGAATAGACTTTTTAAAAAATCCAGATCTAGGGTGTGGTGGCACACGTCTATAGTCCCAGCACTTGGGAGGCAGAGACAGGTGGATTTCTGTGAGTTCAAGGCCAGCCTGGTCTACATAGTGGTTTCCAGGACCCCGGTGGCTAAAGAAAAACCCTTTTTAAAAAAAAAAAAAAAAAAAAAAAAAAAAAAAAAAAATCCAGATGTAATATATGCTACAAACAAAAGACTCATTTTAAATTTAAGGGCACACATAATCTGAAAGTGAAGTAATGGAAAACGTATCCTAGGACAATGATTTATAAAGTGAGTCAGTATGGCCATACTTATATCAGACAAAATGCACTTTAGGTAAAAATTTACAACACTGGGCATAGTGCAACACTCCTTTAATCCCTGCACTCTGGAGGCAGAGGCAGCTGATCTCTGAGATTGAAGCTAGCTTTCTATATAGTGAGTTCCAGGAAAGCCAGGGCTAAGGAAGACCTTGTCAAAACATTTACAGCAATAAATACTGACAATAAACTTATGTATTGATAGATGGATAAATACACCAGGAGAGTATAATTAATTATATTTGTAGTCCATATCAAAGCACCTTCTGTATGAGGCAAACACTGCAGAAATACAGAGAAATAGGTGATCATGTACTTCCATTAAGAAATTTTAGCATCACTTTGAGTACCAGATACAACATTAGAAAATACTGAAAAATTTTGTAGTACTGTAGACTAAATGGACTTAATATACATACAGTGAATAGTCTAGACAGCTGGTTCCTAGTACATAGTCTAAAGTACATAGTCTAAAGTCACAAGACAAGTACATTTGAGAAGGTGTCATGTCGGGTTTAGTGTCTGTCATAAAGGAGTGAAACTAGCAGTCAGTTACAGTTCTGCTAAGAACCAGTGAGTCCAATGGTATTTCGAAAGGGAAGTTAGAAAAATCTTGTAAAAATGAAAGACAGCACAACATGCTAAGCCTGCTGCAAAGGGAGTTCTGAGAGGGTGCTTGTAACAGCACCTACATTAAAAGGATATAGGTCACAGAATACCTAATTTATACACTGAGGAACTTGGGACTCATTCTGTCACAAATACGGGCATGCTGCTGCTTTCATAAAACAGACGGGGGAATGATTTTTCTGAACAAATGCCTTTTACCTAACCTTATAACCAAAGTTAATCTTATATTTTGAGCTCATTTGACACTGTGAGCTTGTTTACAATGTAAACAAGTTTATTAGGCTTTTGGTTTCTCTTGTTACCTAAGCAGACAACTTCAGTTCCTCATGACCCTCCCTTGCCCTGATCCAGAATGTTTGTATATGTGTGAATATATTGTAAATAGAAACTGCTGTAAGCAGTGACTACTCATTAAAAGCAATGCATTACCTTATTTGTGACAATAGCAGGTGGGGTTAGATTGATAACATCTGTCTGTGGCCCTATATGCTTTCCAGATCAGTAGGGGTCAGAAAGACCAAATTCCCTGATAAGACAAATTCTGCTTTTCATTCCTTATTTCATGCTGGATGTATGGTTTCAATATGGAGAACAAGGCCTTTATTCCAGAGCACAGTTCTAGGCGAGCAGGCAAGTTCTTAGAACAGTTTGGTTGAAATGGGTGATAAGAGCCAGGCTGTTTCTTGATCATTGCAGTAATGTGGCATCACACTGTTGTAAGAAATAAACCTGAATGATGCCAAAGCTGGCAGAATGGAAGAAGTGCTAAAGAGCACAGTGGAAGGAAACAAAGTGGAGAATAGTAAACTATGGGCAGAGGGAAATCACTGAAGCGTGTTCTTTTTTAAAAGAAATAATGTTTTCATATATTTTGATTACACTCAGACCTCCTCTCCCATCACTTCTCAGATCCACCCCACCTCCCTATTTCCCGCACTTCATGTCCTTTATTAAGTTTTTAAAGGATTATCAAGTCTAATAATGGTTTCCTCAAATGCTGTTGGGTGTGGCTCTATCTATCACCTTGAGCCCGGTCAACCTACCTAGCATTATACCTTTAAAGAAAGCTGAGTCTCATGTTTTTTGAAAAGATAAAATTGGCAGACTTTTACATGGACTAAGGTAAAGGAAGTAGACTCTAATTCAGAAACCAAACAGGTAACAAACACTACAGCATTTGCTACAGAAACACAAAGGATCTTAACTGAGCAATAAGTGGTTTTCTAGAAATTTAAAACTACCAAAACTGAGTTAAGATGGAACAGAAAATCTAAATATACCTATAAGTAGCATGGAGGTTGAATCGGTAATCAAAAACATCTCTCCCAAGGAAAAGCTCAAGAACAGATGGCTTCACTTGCGAATTCTGCCAAATGTTTGAAGAAGAATTAGTGTCAATCCTTCTCAAACAGTTCCAGAAAACTGAAAATACAGGAAACCCTTCAACTCATTTTATGATGCACAATAACCTGATACCAAAAACAAAGACTACTTGAAGAGAAAACAGCAGGCCAGTAGAAACAGGTATCCTCAGCAAAATAATAGCAGAATGAATTCAGCATGAAACTTTGGCATATGCTATTAATTGGTATGCTACACCATCCTCATAGAATGAAGGAAAAAGTCACATCGTAATAGATTCTTTAAATTGACAGAATTAGCTGCCTTTCGGGATTAAAACACTGTTATCAGTAATGTAGACAGCAGAGGACATTACCACAATATCATGAACTCCATATATGGAAAGGTCACAGCGAACATAATGCCAGTCAGTGCAAAGGACAGAGCCTTTCCTCTGCATTCAGGAAAAAGAAAGCAGTTATATCCCACTTTTACTACCCTATTTAACATGGTATTGGAATCCATAGCCAGACAGTTAGGGGGCAGGGTTTGGGGGAGAAATAAGGCGGGCAATTAGAAAGTTGTGCTTTTGAAAAACATTATCCTACAGGTAGAAAAACCTCAAGTCTGCCATTAAAAACTTCCTGGGAGGTGTTAGAAAGATGGCTCAGTGCTGAAGAGCTTTGGTTGCTCTTGTAGAGGACTTGGGTTTGGTTTCTAGCACCCACATGGCAGCTAAAACCTATAGCTGTAGTTTCAGGGGATCTGACACCCTTTTCTGGCCTCCATGGGCATTGCATGTATGACTGCACTTACATATGGAGACAGAACACTCATACACATAAAAATAAATTTAAATTTTTCAAAAAATTCCTTTGACATCTAATAAATGAGTTCAGTAAAGTTGCAGTATTCAGACTCAACATACAAAGGTAAATTCAAATGGTAATGAAGAGAGCATTCCCATTTAGAGTAGTGTCAATACTATAAAATACTTAGGAATAAACTTAAGCAAGGAAGCCAAAGTATAAATATTGCTCGAATAAACTAGAGATGAAGCAAACAAATGAAATAAGAAGGCTTAATATTTTTCAACAATCCATACTCAGAGCAATCTAAAGATTTAATGTGATCATTCTTGGCCCTTTTTAGGAAACGAAAAAAAATCAGTCCTAAAATATATAGAGGATCTCAAGTAGCCAGAAACAGTTCTGAGAAAGAACAATCTGGAAGCCTATGATGTGCTCTTTTAAAGTGTATTACAAAGCTACAGTTACTAAAACAGTATGGTAGGAGCAGAAAGACATATGTATTTATCAGTAGAACAAAATTGAGATACCAGAAATTGACAGCCATGTGTCTGGTCAACTGATAATTAGCAAAATTGTTGAGAATTGGCAATGGTGAAAGGATAGTGTGTTCAACTAATGGTGCTGGAAAAAACAGATGTCCATATTCAAAGGGGGAAAAAAGTTACACCATAATATTACACAAAAGTCAACCTACAGATTGTTGAAGATTTAAATATATAACCTGAAACAAACTTGCAGAATAAAACAGTGGAAGTTTCTTTATATTACCTCTAGAAATTATTTCCTTTATAACCAAAAGAATCAG